CAGAAGAGGACACACACCTTTCATTGTATTTTCAAATGATTAAGTAGTTAACATAAAATGTAAAGTTAAGAACCATTGAGTTGATACTGCAAAGAAAAGCTGATCTGTTTGTTTTAGCCTTAGCACCTAGGTTAATTAGACTAACTCTGTGGACACCCATTCATGTTCACTCATTGGCTTCTGAAAATACCATCTTCTGGATGCTCCACAGTCCTTGAAACACAGGCAATAGGAAGAAGGAAGGAGCAGAGTCCTTCTCTATCAGCAAGTGCCAGTCACTGGTAGTCATGCATGCAGCTCTCCACACCTTACTTGTCTGCACTATGGTACCTCCTATGCCAGCTCCAGGGCAGCCTAGAAGAGATTGTACCATTAATTCACCCAGGGAAGAAATTGCTACCTGGCTGGACTGGTTAATATTTTATCTATGCACCACTAAGTGAGAGCATGAAGTAAAACTGTAGTTTCCATACTAAACTCTTCTGGGTCCATGTGAATAAAGCAATTCTCTTTGTGGGAGAACAAAAATAGACGATAAGCATTTTCTCTCCCTTTTGTTGATATTGCTCTTGTGAAAGGTTCTGAGAAGTGGGGGATTTGTACTTTCATGCAAGAAGTGTTTGTAGAGTGCAAGCTCTGGGCCAGGACCTGGCACATAGTATAAATAGGGCAGGCATGCTCTCTGACCTCATGGGATTTCCAGTCAAGTGGGTGAGACATATATCAACAAACAAGCACCCAAGTGGGTTGAGCGCTCTTCGCTTTAACGGAATCCACCAACGTGGAGTTTGTATTATGGTTAAAATGTGTCTTAAATACGTCAACAATCCCTAACGCCAAAGTGGAGAAGTTAAAATGAAGGTCATATTTTGAAACAGAACCTTTAAAACCATCAAATTTTTAAGGAGAGTTATGAAAGACACAATATAGGAATTACAACATAAGGTGTTTTTCACTTAAGCTACTTTATCTAAATTGCTAAATTTAATCTCAGCTCAGCTTTTTACATTATTACATGTCTATAAAAACAAAATTTCAAAATAATAAAATAAGTTTTTTAAAAAGAAAAAAAATATGCTTATAAAATTATACCACTTTGAATCAGCGTATTTAAAATACTTTATTTTTTCTCCCATCACTTGACTCAATTGCTTGCATGGATCTTGTTTATTTCAAGATAGAATTAAAGCCTCATATAAGTCCAGTCATTTCTAAAATAGCAACTTCCCCTTCTGCCAAGTGATTTCATTTCCTATGATCTTTACTTCACACAAAAGAAATCCTAGAGATAAGTAATATATAATTGTTGTCATTTCGAAGACATCTTTTATTGTAAACATTGGCGTATGCAATCTCTAAATGGTTTTAGTATAAACCTAACAAAGAAAATAGGTGTATAAAACTTTGTTTTATAAGTTTAACAGAGAAAAAAATAATTACAAATAAATATTTGCATTTGATTTTTTTTTCGAAGACAGGCTGATCTTAAATATCCCAAGTCTATAATAAATACCGGTTTGCACAGCCAGTCTCTTTCTCCAATCCCATCCTTCAAACTCCATCTCAGAATCTCCATTGATTTTGGGGATAGAATTGGAAATGTTACTCATTTCTCTGTGTTATCTGCACAGTACTCTTTTTTTTAACACACGAAAGTGAATTGAATTATTATTCACAAAACCAGAAAGCTCTACAACTGAAATAAAAGCAGTTGGATGTAAACTTTAGGGGCTATATTGTGCCAATACACATTTACTTTATGATTGGTCAGCTTTTAAAAAGAAATATGGTTCTCCTACTCCAGGCAAAGTTCAATGTGACTTTAATGACAGGTGACATTTATTGTACACCTTCTATGTGCCTGGTCCCACTCCTGGCATTTTCTATACAGGCCCTCATTTAACTCTCCCTGTGATCCTATGGAACTGGTATTATTCCCATTTTACAGATAAGGAAACTAAGACTCAATGAGATTTAAAAAATTCAATGATCATTTGTCTAATAAGTGATGAAGCTAGGCTTGAAGGCAGGTTTGTCTTCCCCCAACACTTACACTGGGCATGGGTCAAAACCAATGCATTTAGCTGCTTGGTTCTCCAACTTGTCAAGACTTTGGAAAATGATTTTTCTTTAAAGAGTATGACATCTATAGCAGCATGGTTCAAGTTTGCTTGGTATTTTTACAAATTATTAACTCAAGAAATTTGAATTTAGAGATGGAACTGAAATGTCTTAGATCAGATTAAGTTCTTTATAGACATATACTCAGCAAAAAAGTAAGAATATGTTTTAAATCTTTCAGCTCACTCTGAGTTTTGTTGACTAAAATTTTAGGGGAAAGGTATTTTATATTTATGATATTAGCAGTAACAACATTATAAGGCAAACTCATTGATATATATAGCATTTGTCTATGGTTCTCTTAACCTCAGGGATGTCTGAGCTGAGACTAATTTCCTCAAAAGGAGAAAAAAATTCCAGGTTTAAGTTGAGACTTAACTACTGGATTAAGAAATGTGGTTCAGATTTAAGCAGCAGCATTATAATACCAAGATAGAATCAGCTTGTTCAAAGTCTCTTGATTAATAATCATGGGACAAGATTTAGGCCTAAGTTCATCTCACTTAAAAGCCATTCTGCTTTTTTATGTGAATACAACTTTGTTTGGATTTACAAAAACGCCCTAATTCTAAAACACATATATGAAGGAGGGTGGGTTCCCTAGGTGGTTCAAAAAGACATTCAGTTTTCTTGTGGGGAGTTTGATGGAAAAGGAAGAGTTTCTTATAGATGTAGAAAAAGTAAATGCCCATCTTTGTCTTGACTTTTCCTTGAGCTCTTTCCTTTCTTGGATGATAGCTTTGATCCCATGACTATGGTAAAAATCTCTGAATGTTCATTTATTAAGTGCTTCTCATGTTTCAGGAACTGGTAAGAACTTAAACAGCTTACTGGTTGATAGTCCCATAAAGTTTACATTCATCCCTAGTGGATAATAAAATATCATTTGTATTTATGTGCAGCTTTGTTAAACTTTTCACTTCATTCTGCTCTATTTAAAAGCAGCATTTTTTTTTCCAAATAGAATAATTAGCCCTTTTTTCTCTTTAACCCCATTTAGTCATTCTACTTCTGTGCAATGACTCAAAGGGTTACCGTTACAGAAGTGGTCACTTTGTTTTTGTTCACTATTACCTCTGATGAAGAGGGTCCGAGGACAGAATGCATCAAGGCTACATTGTGAGAAATGAACAACAGCAAAGAGGTTGGTTTGCCTTATTAATTAATGCTCCATTGTTTAAAAAAAGTGAGCATCTGGTTTAAATGGAACTCATTAGCTCAACCTCTAAGGTTGGTATCATGATGCAAGTGATACCCTGAGAGGAGGAGAGGAGATGAGGAGATGGAATTGGGATGGCAAGGAGGTGCCTATGTCAGCAGGACTCAGAAAAAAATACAAAGGCAACCCTGAGACGTTGAGAAGTTTGCAAATCGTCAGAACTCTGGGCATCTGTGTGGTGCCACTAGACTGCGTCCTGAGGATGAAGGACTGAACCAGTCCGTCAGGTTTGTCCATAGGAGAATATGTCCTTGCTGAACAAACCGATATTACTGAAGCAAAGAAGCGGTCAATTTTCTTTAAGATCTAGGTCTTGCCTACATATCTGGCTTCAACTTTTTCCTCTCCTCATTCCATACACTGTGTTTCATACAATGCTCAACAATGTCAAGGACCCAAATGGACCATGTTATCTTAATTCTCATTACCTTTTATTTGTTTTTTTCCTCCATAAGCAAGGCAGCCAGCCCTTCTCCCCACCCCACTGGTTTTACTTCTGCTCATTACCAATTTTAGGTCGTAGCTTTGAGGTTGTTTCTTTATAAATTCCTCAAAACTGTAGTTGCTTGTGTCACTACTAGTTCATATCTGGCAGCAGACTGCAAAATCTTTGAAATCAGAGATTATATCTTATTTACATAGTAATCACATCTCCTACTATGATATTTGGCATTAACATATAATCAACATATATTAAATAAATAAAAGAACAATCAAGTTCCTGAAATAGTAGAATTAAAAGCAAGAGGAACCCTAGCTGATTTGGCTCAGTGGATAGAGAGTCGGCCTGCAGACTATAGGGTACTGGGTTTGATTCCAGTCAAGGACACATGCTTGGGTTGTGGGCTCAATCCCCAGTAGAGGGTGTGCAGGAGGCAGCCCATCAATGATTCTCTCTCATCATTGATGTTTCTATCTCTCTCTCCCCCTCTCCCTTCCTCTCTGAAATCAATAAAAATGTATTTAATATTGTCAGGTCCCTAATGTTTCTTTCTTCTTCTGATAGACCAAACCCTTTAAGAATAAGTACTTTGTCTTATCCAGCTCTAGATTCCCACATTCCTGAGAAGTTACTTGATAAATATTTGTGAGACAGATGAAAAGGCACAGCTTTTATTCTGTTAAATATACATTAGAAAACCAAACCTTTGGAAAAGTTGTACTTTGTTCCTTGAGAGCAGAAACTTTCCAAAACTCTTAGAAAACAACTGCTCATAAAATGTGCCCCCAATAAAAGTGGTCAACTGGAGCATCTCCTCTCTCATCACAGCACACGTACTTTACATAAAGAAACCAATGTGCCATAAAAGAATAATCACCAATGAGCTTACTCTGACAGCTGGCAGATGGTTCTATGATAAAGTTATTTATTAAGTATGAAGGAATACAACTGACAATTGTATCAAACTGAGACGCTTCACTGTTTAAAAATATTTTAAAGCAAACATGCTTTTGAATGAAATTAAATTATTTTAAAGATCCAATAAAAGTTCAATCGTGCAGAAAATTAGATAAGAAATCAATGAGAGAAACCTGGTGACTCAGGTTTGTTCACAAAGAGTGACCGGAAAGCTCCAGGTTATGGAATTTCCTCTGACCTAATACAGGAATGAGCGGCACAGCTCTCGCTGTTGAGAGAATATAAAAAGCCAGGGGTACTCTTCATCCAGCACAAGTCCCTGAGGACAGCAGAGCTCACCAGCATCTAGGAGAAGAGCCCATAAGAAACCACCTTGCCGTAAACATGGCTTCCAAGCTGGCCGTCGCTCTCCTGGCAGCGTTCGTGCTTTCTGCAGCGCTGTGCGAAGGTAAGCACATCTTTCCGACCCAGTTTTCCTGGGTTTAAATGTGATGGTAAGATTATCCTTAATGCTTTGATTAAAAACAAACAAATATTTTTTTTGTGTGTTCAGGAATAGAAAATAATCTTTGCAGTCATTTAACAGCAATTAATTAAATTGAAGTTTTAAATTTTTTAGGCTGTATCTATATAACGATTAGAAAAGTATAGTGTTTGATTAATACATTCTGTTCTTATCACTTATACTCTGTAGTATGCATATATTTAATATAAATGTATAAGTTAGCCCTAACCGGTTTGGCTCAGTGGATAGAGCATTGGCCTGCGGACTGAAGTGTCCCAGGTTCCTGTCAGGGGCATGTACCTTGGTTGCGGCACATCCCCAGTAGGGGGTGTGCAGGAGGCAGCTGATTGATGTTACTTTCTCATCAATGTTTCTAACTTTCTATCCCTCTCCCTTCTTCTCTGTAAAAAAATCAATAAAAAATATTAAAATAAATAAATATAAGTTAGAGTGTATCTTATTGGGACCTACAGTTACCTATACTATAAATTAATATTGATCAAGATAACAGGTAATTTTACACCGTGTACTATTTTACTGAAAAGCTTCAGATAGCTATCAATTCCCGTTTGATTTAAGGGCACTCTGACCGAATATAGGTCTTCTTGGGATTCATTTTATGAAACAAATACATTTTAGAATGTTTATGACATATAGTTTCTTTATTTTTTCTCTCAAGCATTGAGGATTGTGTTAAGATATAAGACACTGCTGTGCAACTCACTTATATATTTCTATTAATTCTTTCTGAAGGCAATTTCCCTATTGGTGAATCTTAGTTTGCATACTACAAATAGCACTGTGGTATCACAGAGGATTATGAAATATCTAGTAGAAAAAAAAAAGTATCATAAAGATGTCAACATTGCGCAAAGACAACTCCAGTCTTTATGTAGAAAGATATCCAATGTTATGAGGAATGACTATTTTTAAAACTGAAGAAAAACTGATGTCAGAGGCAAGAAGAATATTCAGCCTTCATTTTCTGGAATGAGTTTGCAAAAGATGCGATGTTTGTAAAACACACAGTCACCAAGTTATCAGATTGGGATTAAAGAGGGAGTAGCTAACAGAACCCTCCCTGTTGTTGAAATCAATCTGATTGTCTTATTTTTTCCCACAGCTTCAGTTCTGCCGATAATAGAAACAGAACTTCGATGCCAGTGCATTGGTACGCACTCTACACCTTTCCACCCCATGCTTATCAGGGAACTGAGAGTGATTGAGAGTGGACCACACTGTGCAAATTCAGAAATCATGTAAGTGCTTTCAAAAGTGATTAGATATCTTACTTTAGCTAACCTAGAACTGAGGAAGGTGGAAGCATCCAACAAAGTTCTAGGTACTAAGAATAGAGTTGTGGGTTAAACAGAAGGACATATTCTGGATATGAATGGCATTTAAGTATGATAGCTTCCATGATTCATAGCTCTAAATGGCTTTTGACTTAGATTTCATGCCTGTACTTAAGGAACAATGACTTGTGTGGCAAAGGGGTATCTGAAACTGCTAAATGTCGATTTTAATCACCTCTCTCTCATTTCAGTGTAAAGTTTAAGAATGAAACATTGCTCTGCCTGGACCCCAAGGAACACTGGGTGCAGAAGGTTGTGCAGACATTTTTAGAGACGTAAGTTGTTGTTGTTGGTTTTAATTTAGATTCATTTGTCCTCAGATATACAGTCCAAAAGTCAGCCTATAAATTTCCTGCTGCTGCCAAAAATATTTATAGGTAGCTGCCTCTTTAATTCAAAATAAATAGCAGCAATAGAGAGTTGATTGTAACTCATGACTGGGAAGACCACACATCTCAGTGTGTCCAGGGGAGTCTGGGTTTATGCCTGGTCCCTGTGCCATTATTATGATTCTGTTTCAGTCTCAGAAGTGGCCTCCTTTGGAGGATGACTTATCTGGTCTTTCTTCTTATAGTTGAAAGTATAGAACATTTCTAACATATGACTATTTAAGACTACATTAGTTTCTGTATTAAGTATAAGGACCACACTTTACTCCTGTTAGAACACTGTTAACCCTTAAATTTTATTTATTTTCACCATTATTATGATTCTGTTTCAGTCTCAGAAGTGGCCTCCTTTGGAGGATGACTTATCTGGTCTTTCTTCTTATAGTTGAAAGTATAGAACATTTCTAACATATGACTATTTAAGACTACATTAGTTTCTGTATTAAGTATAAGGACCACACTTTACTCCTGTTATAACACTGTTAATCCTTAAATTTTATTTATTTTCAGAGCTGAGACAAAAGAGCCATGAAAAAAAAAAAAAAGCACTCTCCCCGGTTTCCAAGAATTCCTCAGTAAAGATGCCAATGAAACTTCAAATAAATCTACTTTAGTGCTTCACATACTGTGTGGGTCTGGTATAGAGTTGTCAGGTGAAATATAGGATGCTGGTTAGATTTGAATATTAGGTAAAACAATGAAGAGTTTCTTTCAATGTCCCATGCTATATCTAGAACGCACTTATTTAAAAAACAAAACAACTCATTGCTTACTATAAATTCAAACTTAGCTGGAAATCCTGTATTTTATTTTATTTTATTTTTTTTGAGGGAAGGTAAACCTTGCAATCTTAGTCTGCCAGCCAAGATCTGTGAGTTCCTTTTAACTGTGCCTTCTTTCTTCTTTATTCCTAACCTGGAGAAAAAGGACCAGTCACCATTTCACCTCAATGTGATGTGAGGACATGTGGGAGCAAGTCAATGTTTTCCATGGTCACATAAATTATTTTCAAGTGTAATTTATTCACTTATTTAATATTTATGTATTTACTTAAACATCAGCTAGAGTAATATTTGTGCATGAATTTGGAAAATGGGAAAGGAGCATTGTTGATAAGCGAGTATAATGATGGTTGTGAATTTATTTTAGATATTAAATAATATATTAGAGAACTATCTTGATCAAAGTTGATTTATTTTGATTGAGGTTGCTTGATTTAGCAAAATTAAAAACTAACAGAATATCCAGTTAAGCTGGAAATCCCACTTTTAATAGTCCTCATATTGTCCTGTCACTGTTGGCCTTGTGCTATTCTGTGTTGAATCACCAAATCCTGAGTTAGGACTCTCTTCGTCAAAACAGCAAAAATTCTTGCTGGTTAATACTTACTTATTATGTATGAATAGAATCTCGTAATTTAATTTAAATAGTTATGTTTTTAACTTTAAGATACTTTTATGTATTTTCAAAGGAAATGTTTTGTCTCTTGATTTGATGGTATGGAAACATAAATGCGACTGTAAACATAATAAAATTCATTGTCAAAATAATCAAGTGTTTGTATTTCTTTGGTCTTTTCAAGATCTATTGTTTTACATCTTCGGTTGTATGAAAAAATATTATTTAGAGAACATAAGTGCCTCCCCTAAACATTTTGTATACTGTGGTGGAAAATACAAACTTTTATTTGTAGAAAAACAGAACTGCTTTCCAGAGAAGGCTACAAACAGCAGCCTCTGAGAAATGATGAGGATTTTCTTGACCCTCCAGTGCAGAGGTCCTCAAACTTTTTAAACCGGGGGCCAGTTCACTGTCACTCAGACTTTCCACACATGCGCGCTGCGGGCCCGGGACGAATTGGCTGCTAAGCAGGACAGGCAGCGGCGGCAAAAACACCTGGTGGGCCGGATAAATGTTTTCGGAGGGCCACATGTGGCCCGAGGGCCATAGTTTGAGGACCCCTGCTCCAGTGTATTCCATTTTGCTGATAAGGCTGACTTCAGATTTTCAATGAAACAGCCCAGGTGTCTGTGAAAGGGAGAAGAGGGGACACATGCTAAGGTGCTTCTCAGTTAATTAAGAAGTAAAATTGAAACATACAAGGCAAAAAAAGTTCAAAATATGAATAAAGACCACACATATTTGAAAAAAAAAGTAAAGAAAAAAAACCCTCTTCAAAGTAAAAATACAATAATTTAAGTAGAAAACTAAGTGGATGAGTTTTATAACAGATTAGACCCAGCTATAAAGAAAATTGGAGATCTAGGAAATAAACCCAAATAACTATCTGGAATTTATATGAGCGATAAAGAGGAAGTAAATTGAAAGAAGAAATAAAAACACATGGAAAATGCAGTGTCTAATTGGATTTTTACAAGCAGAAGAGAGGGTCAGAGACAATGTTTAAACTGACAATAGCTGAAAACTTTCCAGAAATGGTGAAAATAACAACGGAAAGTTTGAAGAAATCCAATGAACCAATGCTTAAATTTTCATTGCTAGTCAAAAACAAGGATTTTAGAAATGTGATTCATACTTATCCACCTCCAAGATCATTTACTGCTGCTGTTGGGCATTTTAAATGCACTCTTTAAAAAAAAAAAGCCTTTATTGTTGAAAGTATTACATAGGCCCCCATTTTTCCCACATAGACTGCCTCCAGCCTGTTCCTGCAGGCCCCAGGCCTTCACCACCCTATTGTCTGTGTCCATGGTTGATTAACTCCCATGATTGTCTTTGGTTATTATCTCCCACCCATCCACCCTCCCTCCCCTTCCCCCTGAGATGCACTCTTTTTTAATCTCCACAAAGGGAAGTGAGGAAGAGGGTCCTCTCTTATTTTCTCATTTGTTACTTCATATTGCAAGCTACTTCTCCCGTTATTAGCTCTTTGCAATCACTCTGTGTACCTGCAGCTACCATTCTATCTATGGGTCAGCATTAGCTGTGGTGTGGAACAAAGCCCATTCTCTCTTCTAATTTCCAGTGCACATCAACACAGAAGTGTGCAACATAATAGAATTAGTAAAAAAAAAAAAAGTAAGTCATATGCAAGCAGGAACCAACTGGAAATGCAACCCTAATATTACTATTCTTAGAAGCAGTGTTCCTACTAGTGATTTCTCCCTGCTTATGTTCTTTTCAGGTCATATTGTGGAGTTTCTTCTTCTTCCTCAGAGTTCTGCCTAAATTTAGTTTCCATATTTTCCAAGCATAAAAAGTTATTTTTTCTCAAATGAGCTTTAATTATAAGTTTCCTTGTCTACTTCTGCCTCCCTTTGCAGTGTCTCATCTTGTGGATCTCATACATAGTGAATAAAACCAATAACAAACAAGTAATTTTAATAAAATATTGGTAGGAGAGACACATGATTCTTCAGAGGAGATATCAAGGAGTATGAAACCTAACTTGCCTAGATTTCCCTCAGAAAACCTAAGCTAGAGTGTAAAGGATGAGTAGGAGTTCCACACAAAGAGGGAAGAAGAATGTGTGGGAGAGAGTGGTCTAGACTGCAGTGAAGTAATTTGTAAACAAGAGCATGACATGATTTGAGAAGTGAAAAAGTTCAGTGTGACTAGAGTTTGGCATTGGAACATAACAAGTACTAACAGATGAAGTTATGCTAAATGGACTATGGAATGCTCTAAAGGGCTTAGATTTGAAAATGAAAACTTTTAGTTAATTTCAAATATCCCCATTTAAATGGGGAACATTATAGGCTATTCTTCCTGGATCTCCTTACAGAAGAAAGGGGAAAGCTGTAGAAGCAACTCAAAAGTCTGATCATTGGGCTCTTGAATGACATTTGAAGATTGAATTATCAGAGAACTCCCAAATTTATAGCAAACTTCTTAATGTGTTAAATACAATTTAATATGATCAGTGTCCAACCCTGAAAGCAAAGTGAAGGCATTTGCACCAACTTGGTGAATCTCAATAATGAAGACTTAAAAATTTACTTTTTAATTTAATCTTTATCACTTTTAAGTTGTACCAAATGATTTTCTCCACTCCCTTATCTATAGTGTTACTCTGGGTAAGAGAGCAAATATTCCATCCAAAAGGCAATTAAGTGTATCAGATTGGAGGTTAGGCATTATGCATACAAGCCAAAATGGAAAAATGAAGAGTAAGAGAGAGAATGTGAGAGAAAAGAAAAAGCCATCACTTTGCTGAATTGAAAATGTTTACTTCATTTTGCCTAAATGATATTAGTAAAATTAGTTAGACCTGGAGACCATTATGCTAAGTGAAATAATCCAGTCTGAGAAAGACAAATACCACATGATCTCACTTATATGTAGGATCTAATGAACAAAATAAACTGATGGACAAAATAAGTCCAGAGGCAGATACGTGGAATAGACTGACAGATCTTAGAGGGGAGAGGGATTGGAGAACAGGAAGAAACAAACCAAAGAATTTATATGCATATGTGTGTAGCCCATGAACACAGACAATAGTGTGGTGCAAGCCTGCGGTGCGGTGGCGTCTGACTGGAGGAGAGAAGCGAGAGGGAGGAATAGGGGACATCTGTAATAGTATCAACAATAAAAAATAAACTTAAAAAGAAAAGACATCTATGATACATATATTTCATATACAACATAGAAAATCAGGTTATTTTCATAATTACCCTTTTGGTTTACTAGCAATGCATCAAGAAATAGATTCGTAGGTTGAAATCACCTAAGAAAAGTTGTTTATTCTCAAGATTTTGGTAAAGAAGTATATAATTATTTTTTATTGTAATACATCTATTTTGCTGAGCAGGCTATATTTGAAAAGGTCAGAATAAGGATAAAAATCTAGTTTGTTTTTTGCTTGTGGTAGTGATATAGCAAGTAAAAATTGCTTAAGTCTGTTATTGCAATTAACCCTGCAATAACAACAACAAAGAAAGCTTAATAAATCAGTAATTTCTCCATTACTCACTTAAAAAGATAGCCAGACCATAATTGCCTCAAGGTTGATAAACATCAGCTAAATTTGCAGAGAACACAAACTACAAATATGGAATTTTTAAATACGACAGAGTAAATTCCAGGCCAACTCCTTCCCACAAGATTTACAGATGGGGCAATCAGGAATTCATCAAAAGATTACTTAAGCATCCAAGAATCCAACTCTAAATGAGTGGAGAAAAAGGTCTTTCCATGCTCCTTACGTTACCATAGATGCAAATCAAGTTGGATAAACATTATCTATCTATCTATCTATCTATCTATCATCTATCTATCATCTATCATCTCTATATAGATAGACTTAAAGGCATAGCATGTTGGAAAATAAGATAGGAAATATTCACAGATATTTCCACCCAGAGTTTGCTTTAGACATATCTAGTGGAATGTTCTAAATCTTTGTAAAAGATCATGGTGCTAGAGCTGAAGATAAACTTTTAATGTACCTATCAATTCTATTTCATAGAGCATGATTTAGCTTATCCTATACAATAAAAGTGTAATATGCAAATTGACCGAATGGCCAAATGTGGGACGACCAACCGGAACCATGCTATACACCCACTGGCGCCAGGCCAGCCAAGGTGGGTGCGATGCGATTGGTCAGGGGCCTGGCCATCACCCTATGATCACCCTGTAGAGGATGGCCCAGGCCACTGGCCAGCAGGGCAATCAATCAGGGGGCTTCACGGTCTCCCAAAGAGGGAGGCCCAGGTCACCAACTGGTAGGCTGCAGTGGGTGGGCAGGGCCTCCCTCTGCGAGGGATGCCAGGGTCCTGGGTGCTGGAGGGAAGCCAGTGCCAGCAGCCGGGGGAAGAAAGGCCTACTCTTGCACAAATTTTGTGCATCAGGCCTCTAGTGTTTTAATAGTTATAGTGATTCTTTCTACTGTCTGCACCCTAAATTAATCTTTTGTTATTCAACCCATGCTACTTAAAATGCCTTCATATATGTAAACGTGTGTGTGTGAGTGTGTATATACATATATATGCATATGTTATTGATTTTTAGAGAGAGGTGAGGTAGAAACATTGATGAGAGAGAAACATCAATCATCTGCCTCCTGCATGCCCCCTACTGGGGATTGAGCCTGCAACTTGGGCATGTGCCCTGACTGGGAATGGAAACTGCAACCGCTTGGTATATGGAATTATGCTCAATCCACTGAGCCATACTAGTTGGGCTCAAACTTTCTTATGTGAAATTTTATTATTATTAATTTCATTTACCAGTATTTGTAGTATATGGATACTACGAAGTTTGAATGAGGCCTCTGTACTAACATGAAAAGAACTGATTTTTACTTAAAAGTCCCTTTTCTAAATGGTTTCTTAAAGGAATCTTTTCACTCTCTAGTTTACTAAAATTCTGTTTCATTTCCTTTATTTCTACTTAGAATTTAAATTAAACCCTCCACATGTAATGTTACATAGATTTTAAAGATGTTGT